TCATCAATATTAATCATCAGTTGGCGCTACAGCCCTTCGTGAGCCTTGGTCTGCTTCAAAACATTCTTCCATCCTTCCCTATCAAGTGTCTGTCTTCTCCAGCCCCTCACTCCAATCTTCCTCAGATCTTCCTGTACATCGTCCAGATATCTGAGTTTAGGTCGCCCCCTTCTTTTTCTTCCGACCGGTCTGTTTAGCATAGTTATTTTAGTGGGGTCAGTCTCATCCATCAGCATAACGTGGCCCACCCACCTTAGGCGGTTTATTTTGATGGTCTTCACAATATCTGCATCACCAAAAAGTCTATAGAGTTCAAAGTTATATCGCCTTCTCCACAGACCCTGTTCGTTTACTCCGCCATATATGGTCCTCAATACTTTCTTTCGCAGACTCGTAGTAACTCTTCATCTCGGGTCGTCATTGCCCATGTTTCCGATCCGTATGTGAGCACTGGGCGTATTATTGTTTTATAAAGTTTGCACTTTGTTGCTATTGATATACTTCTCGCTGTTAGTTGAGGGTCCAGGCCAAAATAACAGCGGTTAGCCACGCATATTCTTTTTTTTTTTTATCTCGTTGGATGTGTTATTTTTGTAGTCTACCAGTGATTCTAAGTAGCAGAATTCTTCTAACATTTCTACCGTTCTTCATCAATATTATCCTCCTAAATTGTTTAAATTATCGCACCATCTTTTTCTTGGTCTGCCAATACTTCTTCGCCCATTTGGTGACTTATCTCGTGCTATCGTACTGTCCTATCCTCTGCCATTCTACTGATGTGTTCGTTCCAATCCTGTTTCCGTTTTGTCACCCATCCATTTATGTCTTCTATCTTACATGCTCTTCTTATGTTTTCGCTTCTCTCCCTATCCAACAGACTTTTCCCTGATATTCGTCGGAGTATTTTCATCTCTGTTGTTTCCAGCAGTCGTCTCGTTTTAGACCTAGCAGGTCTTGTCTCCGCCGTGTACGCTGATATAGGTATAATTACTGCTTTAAAGACTCTTGTTTTTGTGTCTTGGGTGAGGTGTTTGTTCTTCCAGATTGTTGTTCTGAAGCTATTTTCTTGTGGCATTGTAAATTAATTACTATTTATAACTGGAATAAGCCACAATTAAAGATAAAAATACGTTTATTGACGTTTCAATTTCCAATTCGGAAATCGTTCTCAAAATACAAACAGTAAATTAAACAAATTTTTTTTTTGTTACATAGTGAAAAAATTATTCTAATAATTTAATTTTATCTGACTCATTTATATTGACAATTCAGACATACATTATGCATTTTAAAGTAGACGACTTTAAAATGATATTGTCAATATTGTTGAGTTGCGCTCCTGGGACGGCTTTACTTATAAGATAGTTCATTCGATTACATGAAATCAACTTTAACTTGAGAATATCCGTCAGAAAAAATCATACCATGTAATTCGTCTTTAAAAAGACAAACACATGACATGATGACAGTAAAATTCTCCTGTTAGTGATTCCATAGTAAATTATGAGGAAAAAACCAGGAAAAAACCTCATAATACTATCCCGACATTGTAAGTATTTGTTCGTGAATTTAGTTTACCTTCAACAAACATCAAAATTCTGATTTTATATGTTACGTTATTTAAAAAAACATAAATGATGTATCCGCTATATGTTACTGACTTACTAATACTGGTATTTTCTTATTACTAACTTCCTCTTTCAATATTGGTAACCAGATCCTACTACATTCTGCCGAGGAATTTGCGACACAATTGGCCTCATTTAGCATAATTAGAGCCGCTTCTTTTGATTTTTCTTTTTTTGCCATCCGTTTCTTTTAGGACTATATTTGAATTATCCATTGAACCCTATGTTCATTATCCCATGCAGTAATATAAATATAGTCCTAAAAGAAACGGATGGCAAAAAAAGAAAAATCAAAGAAGCGGCTCTAATTATGCTAAATGAGGCCAATTGTGTCGCAAATTCCTCGGCAGAATGTAGTAGGATCTGGTTACCAATATTGAAAGAGGAAGTTAGTAATAAGAAAATACCAGTATTAGTAAGTCAGTAACATATAGCGGATACATCATTTATGTTTTTTAAATAACGTAACATATAAAATCAGAATTTTGATGTTTGTTGAAGGTAAACTAAATTCACGAACAAATACTTACAATGTCGGGATAGTATTATGAGGTTTTTTTCCTGGTTTTTTCCTCATAATTTACTATGGAATCACTAACAGGAGAATTTTACTGTCATCATGTCATGTGTTTGTCTTTTAAAGACGAATTACATGGTATGATTTTTTCTGACGGATATTCTCAAGTTAAAGTTGATTTCATGTAATCGAATGAACTATCTTATAAGTAAAGCCGTCCCAGGAGCGCAACTCAACAATATTGACAATATCATTTTAAAGTCGTCTACTTTAAAATGCATAATGTATGTCTGAATTGTCAATATAAATGAGTCAGATAAAATTAAATTATTAGAAGAATTTTTTCACTATGTAACAAAAAACAAAATTTGTTTAATTTACTGTTTGTATTTTGAGAACGATTTCCGAATTGGAAATTGAAACGTCAATAAACGTATTTTTATCTTTAATTGTGGCTTATTCCCAGTTATAAATAGTAATTAACTTCCAGATTGTGTCATTAAGAGATCCCGCCGCTTTACTTGCTTTTAAGCTTTTGTTGTCGTACTTCTTCTTTATCATCTCCGTAACTAGTTATATCTATTCCCAGATGTATAAACCTTGCTTCCTGCTTTATTATTTTCCCATCCCTTTCGATTTTACATCGTAGTGGGTATTTCTATGTTGTCATACATTTGGTTTTTTCTGCTGATATTATCATCATATTGTATTTTTTGGCTGTTGTTAATTTATTGATTTTGTTGGTTAGGACTTTTGTAGTAAGTTTAAGTGCGATGTTCAGTAGATTTATACCTCTATAATTGTTGGGGTCTTCTTTATCTCCTTTTTTGCACATTGGTATCACTTTTCTGTTTCTCCATGCGTCTGGTATCTTGCAGTGCAATATTAGTTTTTGTATAAATCTTGTTATCTCTAGAGTTATGCTTTCTCCTCCGTGTTTTAGAAGCTCGTTTTTTATTCGTCTGGTCCTGATGACTTTCTATTTTTTGAGTGAATTTATGGCTATCTCTACTTCCTGAAAACTGATTTCTATTTCGTGTCGTAACTCAGGTTGTAACATTTGCATATTCATTGATTCTTTGATGTATATTGGAATTCCCCTCGTATATGTAATATATTGAAATCCCCCCATATATGTTTAAAAAAAACGAAGAATTTTTCCCTATTTGTTAGTTCGTATCTTTCAAGTTAAAATACCCAAAAGTGTTCTCAATAATTTTATTTGCATTGCTGGATGTTAACATAAACCATTTTAGAGTTGTTTATTATTTTAAAGATGTGTAAGTACATTCTCGGCATTTTCTTTTAATGTTGTATCCGAAGTCGCCTTATAATTTTTGTACGTCGTAGAAATGGAATCTTTTACGTTGTAATTTTCGTTATGTTTTGTTATTTCAGCGTTTGTTTATTTTCAAGTTAAGTGAACGAATTCTTAAGAGAATTTCGTCATTCTTGCTTGGGTCGCGGTAAGCTCAGGTGTGGATAAATTCTTACTTGGGTCACTGTAGGCTCAGTGTGAATCCAAATTCACCGTCGAATTTGTAGTTTTCTGTTTTGGTCCCTTTTGGTAAAAATTTAACGAAAAGAAGAGGAGATGAAGCGATAATCGATGAGTTTTGCACTCCACATACAGAATGCTTCGTTCCACTCAAAGACACTCCTATATGGTCATTGTGGACCGCTTCTTTTACTTCTTCAAGACAGGTAAGACAAAGAAGAGTCAAGTGAGACAGGTGTAAAATATTTAGGTAACAAAGGTAACAATTTTTAACAAATACAAACAACAAATATTTAGGTGACAAAGGTAACAATTCTTCGGTTGAGAAGAAGAGATCTAGAGATAAGCAACCACTTTTTACGACCTTCTAATCATTGTCGATCACTTCTTTGGGAAAGAAGAAGAGATATAGCGGTAAGCGACCACTTTTTACAACCCTTTGGTCATTGACGATCACTTCTTGTAGATTTCAAGGCCAAAGAAAGCTTGTATCGTCCTCGACATCGGAGACCCTGATGGACAGGTTACCAAAGTGAGTTTGAACTCCTCTTGCTATACCACTTATAGAGCCGTTATACAAAAGGCGATTCTACATGGAATTTTTCCTCGTGATTTTCTGTAGAAAATGTTTTGGTATTATTTTTAATCATATTTTTGCTAATACTAGTTTGTGTTCAATCCCTGCTTCTACTGAGTTTAAAGTTCGGATATCTAAAATCTGCTTTGGGTGGATTTTTCTATTAGTTGGTAACTATAAAATCAATCATGGATTTGTGCCCCCTGGAGTTTTCAAATGTATATTTATACTGGAGCTTATGGTCGACAAATGTATTATTGATTCTCAGTTCGTTCAAAGTACAAATATTAACCATAAGTTCTTTATTTGCGTTGGCAAAGTTTTCATTAAATATTTGTTTTACTCCTGGAACTCTTTTATTTCCGATTCGTGCATTAAAGTCACCCATAAGAATAAAAAATATTACAATAAGGCATAATTTATTCTAATTTTAAAAAAGAACTCCCGCGTATCTGTGTAATAATTGGAATTTTATATACATTTGCAATGTTGCCACATTTATAATTATTTTTTACGGAATGAAAATGTAAAAAAATATATATATTTGAAGTAATAATATATAATCATTTAAAATAATTCTGAAGTTCTCAACATTCTTTAACATAGTTATATAATACAAATACACTCTCTTGCAATACAGTCGCTACATTTTGCCCCCAGTGCGACAGAAAAAACTTACCCAAAGCAGTTCATGCATCTCTTTCTAATGGACCGAGTTTATCGACCACGTAACCTAAATAACATTATTGATAATAAATTGATATTTTATTTTTTTCACAGAATGGAGAAACAGCCTTACACGCAGCGGCCTTTTCCGGAAGTCTTCCAGTCTGCAAGCAATTGATGGCTGCTGGAGCAAATCCGTGCATGAAAAATCAAGAACATCACACACCTGCAGACATTGCCAAGAAGCACAGGCATACTTCCGTTTACGAATATCTTAAAACATGTGAAACCCGTGGCCAAACAAAATAAAAAGATCGTTAATTTGTATATGGTTGTAAGTTATTACTATATTAAAAAAATGGGTGTTACAATTGGAAAATGTGAGGTTAGATTTACAAATTTATTGAATTTGAAATTTATATTACTACAATACCTAGTGATCACTTGCGAATTTTTAATTCTATATTAATTCCGATTAAAACAAAAAAATCGGATTTAATTAGTAAGAGGAGGATTGGGTTGTAATTTGTGTTGGGATATTGGACATGAAAATAGTAAAAAAAATGAATATTAGAGTTGTGATAATCATCTATTCGGATGAGAATGTTGATGAATAAAGGTATCGCATCCAACCATCAAAAATATTTGTCTAAGGATGAAATGAAAAATTGATTTATATATGAAATTAATTACTGTAACTACAAATTTATGTGAATTGCATATAGGAAATACTGTCTTTTTGTCAATTGATTTTCATAACGTCTTACCTAGACCTTCTTTCTTTATTATTTGCTAAGAAAGTCGTCTATCTTACATTGTCTGGGCATGGTCATATTAACTAACTTGCCTGCTATCAATTTCTTCAATAATAGTTGTTGATACTTTCTTATTTTGTCTTATTTGGTCGTTGAGTATTTTTTCAGTCTTGATTTTCTGGCAGATTTTCACCAGAAGTCCATTTTTAAGGACAATAAGCAACGTACTAGGAATTTGTTTAGCTACCATGCTTCACACCCATACAGCACGATCGTTTTAAATATTAAGTTAAATAGGAAGATTTTATTTCTCAGAAAAAAAAAAGTGCTGTCCTTTAAGGGTTACATGGTCTTATATTTTCAAAAAAATCGACTATTTTTTTTAATATAGTACTTCACTTTTGACTGCCTTGCAAAATAAGTCAAGTAGCCTCGGGTGCGGGTTTAGTTGACTATCGACCTGGGGTTAGTTGACACAATATTTTCTTAGTGATGTCATAAGGGTAATAATAGTGACACGATACAAAAACAAATACTGATTCAATGTTTCACGTTTATTTTGACCATGGACATTAAGAAAATTTAACAATTAAAAATGAAACTCGCAAACCATCATGTGAATCACAATTGAAGCATATGAAAAAAGTGATATTACTTTTGTTCCTGCATTTGATGTCAGCCCGGCTGCTGTAATGGGTGCCTTGCACCCAGTCATCACCTCTAGTGCTATTTCGATATTGTTCTTCACACACTAAGCACTTAGTTGCAGTCGTAGATGGAATCGGGCTGTCTTCCCGAAAAAAAAATTTTCTACCTTCGTAATTTTCGTCTTTTTGATGTTTTTCTTTTGATTGCATGTTTTTCCTCTATGTGGACCTTTTTTTTCTTCCGCATTTTGTCTTTCTTCCGCGAGAGCGTCTTTTATCGAAGTATCGATTAAAATAGCAGTTTGTCCCTTCTTCCGTGATTTGCTCGAATTTAAGACCTGCTCTTGGTCTTCTGCAGGGAAAGCAATATCGAACTTGCAGGTTCTATTTTTGTCGATGTGACTGTATTTGCAGAAAAATTGTCGTTGATATCTGGAAAATGTTCTAGAATTTTCATTCTCCATGATTTTAACTCGCTACACTGTTGATTGTAGATGAGAGCACTCAAGCTAGATGATATTCGACAAGCATTAAGAAAAATGAAAAATAACAAAGCCCGAGAGAGCAGGCAGGATTCCGCTCAAATTATGGTACCAATGATCACCTCCACACAGTAAAGACACTCATTGAAAAATCTATAGAATATAACAAACCTCTTGTTCTCACTTTCATAGATTTTCATAAAGCGTTCGACACGATCGAATTAGACAGCCTTATAGAAGCAATGAATGACAGCAGGATTGACCATAGGTATAGTGGGCTTATTTATAATATTTACAAAAATGCCACTATGACTGTTAAAATAGACAATAAAACCCGACCAATAAAAATAAATCGTAGAATAAGGCAAGGAGATACATTATCGCCGAAATTATTCATAACGGCATTAGAATATGCCTTTAAGATGATCAATTGGGACCACAGAGGAGTAACGATAGACGGCGAAAAGCTTAACCATCTCCATTTCGCAGATGACATTGTCCTTATCACAGATAATTTAGGAGAAGCTACAGATATGTTAAACGAATTGGATTTTGCATGTTCGAAGGTGGGCCTGAGAATGAACTTGACCAAAACTAAGTTTATGACAAATTTGGTCCCCAATAACCATTTGACTATTCAAGACAAAGTGGTAGAACTGGTGGAGAAATATACGTATTTGGGTCATGAAATAAGAATCAGCAGGGATAACCAAACATGTGAGATCCAAAGACGAATTACTTTAACATGGACAGCCTTTGAAAACTGCGAGACACACTTAGGGCCAACATACCAATCAGCCTCAAAAGAAAAGTGTTTGACCAATGCGTATTACCGATCAACTATGACTTCAACCAAGACCAACGACTTTCGAAACTGAGAGTGGCACAGAGACGAATGGAACGGTCTATGCTGGGAGTGACGTTGAGGGACCGAATAAGAAATGAAGATCTGCGAAGAAGGACGAGTATTACTGATGTTGTGGAACGCATAGCGGAACTAAAATGGAACTGGGCAGGCCATGTAGCGAGAATGCACGATTCACGATGGACGAGCAAAATTACAAATTGGAGGCCAAGAGCAGACAAACGCAGTAGAGGAAGACCACCTACACGTTGGGCCAACGACATCAGGCGTATCACTAAAAATTGGCAACAAAGAGCACAAAATCGTGAGGAATCGAGGAGTTTAAGGGAGGCCTATGTCCAGCAGTGGACGTGATAAATAGAGGCTGGATGATGATGATGATGATGATGATGACACTGTTGATATGTTTCTGGTGATTTTCTTTTCTGAAAGAAACGGTAGCGTTTCTTTCTTCATTTGCTGGTGTAGGTCTGTCTGTCACATATGATGGCAAGAGGTCACTTTCTGTGAAGATACCTTTCTTCAGAGAGCCCAGCCATTATATTGGTTGGCTTAGGAGCTAGAGGCAGACTCAATTTTACAATGTCAGAAACATCATATATGGAAAATGCCTTACCTGGATTGTTCACCATCCAGTTAGCCATAGCTGAATTGCAGTATTTTTTTATGGTTCCGTAGAGAATTGACCGATTTTGCTGAAACTTTGCTCAGTTCATCTTTATAGTATTGTTTTGTGAGTGAAAATCGGGATTTGCAATCAGTCTATTCGTTATAGTCTTATAGGAAAAAAATATTTTAAAAACGGAATGAGAATCGGAAAAGTGCTAAAAAATGTGAGACGAAAATTCATTCAAACTTATTTCAAAACATTAAATTTCATTTTTTTCTTAATTCCTTCGTTCGATCACCAAGGGCATAAAGTATAAGAACATTTCCGAATTTTTGAATTCAGATGAACCTACATCTAAATATTATACTTACCCAAAAAATTCTGGATGAGGAACACTGCAGGAAAAAATTGAATTTTCAAAATGTTAAGCTAAACATTGTTTTACAACTTATTCAAATGCTAAATTTTTCTATGTGTAAATTATAATAAAATAGATTTTTGGTTTTTAAATTACAATTTTTTTGAAATTTTTTTTTTTCAAGACTTAATAAAGTAAGTCCTAATTTTTGGCTTGTGTATAAAAGCAAATAAACTGTCTTATGTCAAATTTGGTTCATATACTGATATTACATATTCAGACACATATTATGAGAAAAAACTAGCACGGCATTAGTAACAACTAACACCGCCGTTTGAAAACAATTTCGGCATATTTAACACATAGGTGCCTATGTATCATGTGTACCATCTATTTACCTTTTGTAACACCTAAAAGTCATTTAAAATTAATATAGCTAAAAGCAACGTATTCAAGACTTAGTTTACTGTGCCTTTAAAACTATTAGACTACTACTGTAAGTATTATTGCATTGGTGTCAGTTTTAAAATATTTATATCGTAAAGTTTGTAAAAACTACAATACGTGGTTCATAAAAACAATATTTATTTCCAAAAAATATAATAGATATATAATAAACGCTACAGCCCTGAATTAAGTACCGTAATTAGTTAATGTATTTACATATTTCATGGAAAGCAAATTACACGCAAAGTTTTTTTTCTCCTTTTTGATTCCATTCATAATAACGTTATTTTTATTTTCATGATTTCATTCATAATAACATATAAATCAAAATAAAACCAAATTCATGGCGACTAACACAAACACAAGAGCTGGAAATGTTGACACAAATTTAATCATCAATGACCAAACTTTCGAAGCAGTCAATGAGTTCATATATCTAGGGACATCGGTTAACCCCAATAATAATACATCTGAGGAAATAAAAAGGCGAATAATAATTGCAAACAGGTGTTATTATGGTCTATCAAAGTACTTAGCTAACAAACGTCTGTCTCAAAAAACTCGTATAAGGCTGTATAGAACACTGATAGTCCCCGTTCTTACATACGGATCAGAGGCATGGACGCTAACGAAAACAGATGAATCCGCTCTATCCATTTTTGAAAGAAAGGTGCTACGCAAGATATTTGGAGCGGTCTGTGAGAACGGAATATGGAGGCGTAGATATAACTTCGAACTGCAGAATATCTACAAGCATACGTTTGGTGGTAAAGATATTACCACTATAATTAAGCGAAACCGCCTGCAGTGGGCAGGATATGTAGCCCGGGCCCCTGAATCGAACATGATAAAAAAGATTCTAACAGCGCAACCTGTGGGAATGAGACGACGGGGTAGACCAAAGCTGAGGTGGATGGATGGGGTAACACAAGATGCGGAGAAGATCGGAGTCGGCAACTGGAAAATTCAAGCAAGGGACAGAACAGAATGGCGTAGAAAGCTTGAGAAGGTCGAGGCCCTCTAAGGGCTGTAGCACCAAGATGATGATGATAACGTTATTTTTGGTGCTCTTTGCTCTAAACGTGTAATTTTCACTGGGATTAAATACATCATATAAACTTTTCATATATTATAATCTTCATTAT